TTTAAGTAAACCGAACTTTCCGAAGAGAAGAAAATTATCCTGCTATTCTACGCAAAAGCCAAGTATGTACCGAATTTAAAGCAAATCCAGCAATAAATAAACGTTTTTTGAAGAGGACCGTTCCTGGTCCACCTTCCTGGGAGTAGTGTAATCTTCTTACTAATCTTAGCAAAAGGCCGCCCATGTGCCGAGTTTCAGGCGAACCGGATTCCGAACCGATTAGATCAATCCCTTGTCTACTTTCTTTAGAGAAGTGTAGTATTCATGTTAATCTAAGCAAAAAGCCACATATTTGCCGAATTTAAAGATATTTGAGACTTATATTAGATTTTTCAAATAGATCAGTTTATGGTCCACCTTCCGAAAAGTAGTGTAATGTTTTACTAATCGTAGCAAAATGCAATCCAAAATAGGATTTTTCGAATAGATTATTCTCTGGCCTGCTTCACGGAGAGAAAGTAGTTTTCCTTCTCATCATAGCTAAAAACCCTCCAATGTACCGAGTTTCAAGTAAACTGGACTTACTTACTATACTAGCGTAGACACCGCTTACGCGATTATAGCCTATTTGCAACTGTGCGTCATTCGTTTCTTCTTTTTGCTGTTCGGCGTCAATTGAAAATATCAAGTACAGCCAGGTGCTTCTCCACCTGGTTTTTCCAACGGAGTGGAGGTCTTCCTCTGCTTCCACCGACGAGCACTGCATCAAAAACTTTTAAAGCTGAAGTATTCGCATCCATACGGATCACATGGCCTAGCTGAACCTATTGGCAAGAGTGATTCTGCGTTGAATTTCAAGACTTCAAGCTTATGACTGTTCACAATGACGAGGGAGCCAAGTCGCGAATGCGATGACTGTTTGTTTGATGACAGGAGATACTTCGTCTTGTACTCGTTCACTACCAGACCCTTTTGCCTCGCTTCTTTATCAAGCCTGGAGAAAGCAGAGCTAACGGTGCGGCTTTTGCTCATCGGCGTACCCCAGTCTTATAGAAGATTGTACCTTCTATATTCAGCTCTGCAGCTCTTAATATTCTGTCCAGCATCAAATTGAAGAAATTGCACGACAAAAAGTCACCCTGTCTGAAACCTCGTTTGGTATCGAACGGCTCGGAGAGGTCCTTCCCAATTGTGGCTGCGCTTCTGATGTTGTCCAGCGTCAGCTTACACAGCCATTTAAGTTATGTGGGGACATAGGCAGCTAGTTTTCGTGCTGTCGAATGCGTGGTGTTTGTCGATTTTCTTATCTCGAGTCTCTTCCAAAATTTGGCACATGGTGAATATCTGGTCAATGGTTTATTTACCAGGTCTGAAGCCACACTGATAAGCTCCAATCAGTTTGTCGACGGTGGGCTTCAGTCTTTCACACAAAACGCTGTATAGGACTTTATATGCGAGGCCAAGAAGGCTTATCCCGAGGGAATTAACATAGACTGTGGGGTCCCCTTTTTTATGGATTGGGCAGGACACACTTACTAGCACAAACAGATCTGTGCATCTATTAAAGCTGGGTATTTGAAAGCAGAAAATTCTTCTATATATAATATAGTGCAAATAAATCTAGGTACAAATATATTACCGCGTTTTCTTATAAGTTTTATTTAGATTTCGTCGTTTCAATATCATTTCGTAAAAAGCTTCCTGATCTTTTTGCAAGTCTTCTCCAGTAATTGCACAGGTTGGTTGTATATACCATTCTCTGTATTGTTGTATTGCTGCTGGATAGCTAACTGTTTTGCTTGTCTTGTTATGAAGGAACATCGTATTGATTGGTGTGGGTGTTATTGGTACTGATGGTGGTTTAGATTCATACGTAATGTATTTTTTTTTTTTTTTTGAATCGACGATAAAAGAGATGAGTTTCTGCTACTATTATTAAGGCTTTCCTCATCATCCTTTTTTATTACTCCTGTAATTGATTCCGCAGCAGTAGCAGAAGATACGGGATGTTGAATATTAAAATTTTTTGTACACCCTTCTCCGAATACCCTACTGGGCAGAGAAATTGAAGTTATACTTTTGCCAAATGTTTTCACACCACTGCGTGCACCAGGTAAGTTTTGTTTGTTAGCCAATATTGAGACAGGAACGCCCTAAATAAACTATTTAAACTTTTTCGTGATAAAAAAATGTTCATAAAATGAGATTATCGGGGAATCTCGCCGTTCTCATGAGCTCCATTTTAGCTTTCTTCATTCGTTCTATATCTACTGAATCGACAACGATACAACATACAACGTACATCTGAAATAAAAATTAAAGTAAGAAGAAATGCAGTTCATAATTTTTGGACTACTTCAATTTTGATGTTCATTGTAAAAAGCAGCTTTCAACGCAAATAACAGCAAAATAGCATATTTTGTGTCCAGTTTGTCCGGTAGCGAGTTGAAAGCGATACCCTTAATACCCTTTCTTTGAGAATTAGCCGCTTTATTTTGTATGGACGAATGGTACTATGGTAGGTCTTCTGAAAGAAAATTTGATGTAAAGGTAACTGAGTGACAATGATTCAAAGAGCTTATAAAAGTAAATCCAGCCCTCATCGAGTAATCCAAAAGTTGCAGTTACCACAACGACCATATATACAGTTGTACAGGGTGTCCCAAAATTAACGCAAGATTTTAATTTGCCATTCAATTAGCGAACCAACTGAAGCTTAGTTTTAACAAATTGATGCTGTTTTTTTGAGCAAAATCATTTTAAGTGTTGAAGCACATATTTTGTTGATGGGTTAGCTCATCGGCCAAATTGCTGCTTTTGGGATTCTAAGAACCCACCTGCGATTGTAGAGAAACAAATGTATCCACAACACGGCACTGGTTGGTGGGAATTTTGGGCTGGGAGCATAATAGGACCATACCTTTTTGAAAATCAGTTATTGTTACTGGTACTAGATATCACGACATGATAACCCAGTTGCTGTCGCAAGTGGTTGATATTGATGTGGCCAATATGTGGTTTCAACAACACTTCAATTACTGCATAAAACATTTTTAGGTCATGTGCTCTTCGTTATGGCTTAGATTTCTTTTTATGGGGTTATTTAAAATCACAAGTCTAATGCAACAAGCCCACAACCACGTATGATATAAAAGATGAGGACGTTGACTGCATCAATAAAATTCAACCACATTTATGCACAATAGTCATGAAAATTTTCGACAAACAAGTGAGTATGTTTTGGAAAGCCATTTCCCGATGAGATATTCCAAAAATAACCCTATGTACTTAATGATTTAATAGTCCTGGTGGAATATGACGCTTTCACAATTTACCAATTCTAGTCTCTTCTCGTTGATGGATGTATTCAATTTGTCCAGTTGTTCTTAGATGACCTCCGAATTAATCCTTTTTTTATATAGAATTCCTTTATTTCCTGAATCTGCTATAATATAAGCCTAACAGTAAGTGTACAAATCTTATAAACTAAATTACAAACATGATAGCTCGAGTTATTTAACTTTGAGCCCTTTTTAAACTACGGCGCTCTCCTTAGAAGGCGGGAACATCTCTTCTCTGTAGGCGGGGATTTCTCGATGGGTTGCATAAAGCATTAGCTAGCGGATTTGGATGATTTCTTAGCTTTGAGAAGTACTTTGTCCTGCTTCTTTCAATTTCAGGCTTAACCAGTAAAATACCAAGGTCTCGATGAATGTTAACGTTACGAACAAACCATTGTGCGCACATTAGTGCTCTTAAAATTTTAGACTGGAACATCTGTATTTTATCGATATTAGTTGCACAGGTCGTACCCCACAGTTGAGTACCATACATCCAAATTGGTTTTAATACTGCGTTGTAAATAAGGACTTTGTAGTCTAGTTTTAGGCCTGAGTTTTTACTTAAAAGCCAATTTAAACTAGCTGCTTTTAATTTCATGTGTAGTATTTTTGCCTCTATGTGTATCTTCCAAGTGAGACGTCTATCTAAGTGTATACCAAGGTATGTAACATCATTTACTTGGGGAATGTTTAAACCATTTAAGCGAATTGCAGGACATGATTGAGGTCTTAAAGTAAATGTGACGTGCTTACACTTTTGTTCATTAACTTTAATTCTCCAGTTTTTTAGCCATTCTTCGATGAGGAGTAAATGATCACTAATCGTTTTTGCCGCTCTTTTAGGGCATTTATCCAGGCATAAAATAGCTGTGTCATCCGCAAAGGTAGATGTCTGCACTTTTCGGTTNTTCCTTCGAGATCATTAACGACATAATTTGCTTAATAATGATATTAAGGTGTAACAGTTAACAAAAAATTTCGTAATCCATACACATACATCACTGCAATTTTTTTGTGGAAAAAATTCCAAACAAAGTTTATTTTCTTATATATTTTTACATATGACTAAAAACAAGCAAAGTTAAAACAATCAAACTAGCCCAAACAGATTTGTGCCTCAATTAGAACTGGGTATTTGAAAGCAGAAAATTCTCATATGATATAATGCAGATAAATCTATATACAAATATATTACCGCGTTTTCTTATAAGTTTAATTTAGATTTCGTCGTTTCAATATCATTTCGTAAAAAGCTACCAGATCTTTTTGCAAGCGTTCTACAGTAATTGCACAGGTTGGTTGTATATACCATTCTCTGTATTGTTGTATTGCTGCTGGATAGCTAACTGAGATGAGTTACTGCTACTATTATTAAGGCTCTCATCATCATCCTTTTTTATTACTCCTATAATTGATTCCGCAGCAGTAGCAGAGGATAGGGGATGTTGAATATTAAAATTTTTTGTACACGCTTCTCCGAATACCCTACTGGGCAGAGAAAAAAATGAACTTATACTTTTGCCAAATGTTTTCACACCACTTGTACCGCTGCTGCAGCCAACATAGGCCTAATAGGTTCTCTAAAACTTTTGGATTGCGTGCACCAGGTACGTTTTGTTTGTTAGCCAATATTGAGACAGGAACGCCCTAAATAAGCTATTTAAACTTTTTCGTGATAAAAAAATGTTCATAAAACGAGTACCTTATTATCGGGGAATTTCGCCGTTCTCATCAGCTCCATTTCAGCTTCCTTCATTCGTTCTATATCTACTGAATCGACAACGATACAACATACAACGTACATCTGAAATAAAAATTCAAGTAAGAATAAATGCAGTTCACAATTTTTGGACTACTTCAATTTTGATGTTCATTGTAAAAAGCGGTAGCGAGTTGAAAGCGATACCCTTATTACCCTTTCTTTGAGAATTAGCCGCTTTATTTTGTATGGACGAATGGTACTATGGTAGGTCTTCTGGAAGAAAATTTGATGTAAAGGTAACTGAGTGACAATGATTCAAAGAGCTTATAAAAGTAAATCCAGCCCTCATCGAGTAATCCAAAAGTTGCAGTTACNTGCAAAGCTTGTGCGCAGCGTTATAAAATCGAAGAAAGGACCATCTAACCATTAATGTTATTATCACTAATTTATTTATTTACTTATGAAACTTCATTACTTCACTTGTTAAAACAAGAAATTCAGTAATTAGTGGCGTGCCTAATACTTTTGGCCAAAGCTGCATCTAGTATGTACTTGAGATATACAGAAAAGTTAATACTCACGCTCTGGAATGTGTTTTAGAAATCGGCTACACTTATTCATCTGTCAATCACGATATACTATATATGTATATATAATATAATATTATTGACCCTCTATAACTGCTGAAATGGCTTTTGGCCACATTCTTCCTCCAATCTGTTCGGGCCTTGATGTTTCTTCAATAACCGGAGGGAGCTTTTCTAAGCTGCCTCCGGATGGCTGAGGATGAGCTTTTATTTCATGTCAGAAATCCTCTCGGAGGGCCTAACAATCCCTGTCGAGGGGCGACCGCAATTGGATTAATTAAATTTCTATTATTTTGGATGTTGGTGCGAATACCTGAAATTACACGATAACTAATAAATATTTAAGTTTTTCGATTGAAGATTCCTTCGAGATCATTAACGACATAATTCGCTTAATAATGATATTAAGGAGTAACAGTTAAAAAAAATTTCGTAATCCAAACATTTACATCACTGTAATTTTTTTAGTGGAAAAAATTCCAAACAAAGTTTATTTTCTTATATATTTTTACATATGACTAAAAACAAGCAAAGTTAATAACATACAAACAGATTTGTGCTTCAATTAGAACTGGGTATTTGAAAGCAGAAAATTCTTATATGATATAATGCAGATAAATCTATATACAAATATATTACCGCTTTTTCTTATAAGTTTTATTTAGATTTCGTCGTTTCAATATCATTTCGTAAAGAGCTTCTAGATCTTTTTGCAAGCCTTCTCCAGTAGTTGCACAGGTCGGTTGTATATACTATTCTCTGTATTGTTGTATTGCTGCTGGATAGCTAACTGTTTTGCTTGTCTTGTTAAGAAGGAATATCGTATTAGCTGTAGTTGGTGTGGGTGTTATTGCTACTGATGGTGGTGAAGATTCATACGTAATGTATTTTTTTTTTTTTAATCGACGATAAAAGATGAGTTCCTGCTACTATTATTAAGGCTTTCATCATCATCCTTTTTTGTTACTCCTATAATTGATTCCGCAGCAGTAGCAGATGATACGGGATGTTGGATATTATTATTTTTTGTACACCCTTCTCCGAATACCTTGTCACCTCCTTTTTTATAATTACAATATGTATGTACGTATGTACGCTAATAAAATCCAAAGGGGAGAAAATCAACACCAAGTGAATTTACTTACGCCGATATAAAAAAAAATTGCAGGGCAGGGCAACAATAACTAGACAGCAGAGCAAAGTTAAACTACAAAACAATAAAACAAAATATGTTTTTGGGTGCACCCGAGGTGTGGTCCAACCGAACTGGTTACGAACCCACTCGCACTACTCCCGTGCTGCCGGGGGTAACTTTAACCCGCCTGTATGACTGGGATCTGGGTGCGGAATGCTATAGGGATGGGTAGAGACGTAACGAGGGAAGTGACCCTGTCGGCACTGCAAAACGTACGCAAACAATAAATTAACAATTCGATTCCGCCACTGAAATCCACAAAAGAAACCTATTTTGCCCTGGGCTTCGACTGCCCTTAAACAAGCCCAGACTGGCTTAACCCTTTCACTATTTGCATCGACTGGCAAACCACTATCTTATGTTTATAAAAAAAATATCACAAATATTTTTTTCAACGCAAATCGCACGCCTGCGTATAAAAAGGTGTCCGCACTTTCGTAGATTGCTGGAATCTGATCCGGCACGCACTTACGAGCCAGGCCGCAGGCTACGCGTCGTCCTTCAAAATTTTCCTGCGAGTGTGTATTGGTGCCCAATAATCTGGCATCGCCCCCATTACCCAAAGGCCCCGGGTTGTATAGCGCACGCCACCATGGCACACCAAATACACTGGGACAATTGTTCCCCACGCCGCATTGAAGAAAAAGGCGACACCCCTTTTTACGGAATTCCCGCGCAAAGCATTCCGTTGCCCTAATATTTGTTAGTGGAGGAACCGTTTTGGGGAACACCTCCTTTTGGAAACTTATACCACTGGGTAGGCACACACCGAATGCCACCGTGCCATCAATCCATGGCTTCAAATAATGCAACTGTTTGCCGACAGATGTCACTGCCAACACTTGGAGTGAAAGGCGGCTAAGGCAAAACAAAGGAAGAGAACATACAAAGACAAAAGAAGACAACTCCACCCCTTCCTCAACGAAAAGGAAAGAACCTTCCTTTTGGTCAGGGAACGGAAATCTCCTAGCGGCTCCTAATCATCCCTATATGGCCTCAACTCTTTAGCGTTTCATTTCCCTTTGTCTTTGCCTAAGTCATCTTTCAGTTTGTATGTCCACGGTCCTAACAATAAACGGCCCTACATACTTTGGAGCCAACTTCGCCGCAAAATAATTCGCTGCATCTGAAAGCATGAAATTTTTCCTCCAGACTAACTCTCCTGGCATGTACTGTAAATCTCGACGTGTGATTATACTGCCTCGCAAGCTTCTCACTCGCCTGCTCTAGCCTAGTCTTAGTACTAGTCTCCTCGAGCCCCTTTGCTCGCTCCGGACAATTTAATTTCTCTTGGTCTCCTAAACTATCTATGACGTCCCAACTGGTTTCTAACCCCATGTATCTGCCAAAATTCACAAAATATGACGTAGCTCCTAACATTGGGTGCTGCGCTGTTCTAATGCAGCAAGCTACCTTCGCTAACTGTTGGCCCCATGTCCTCTGATTCTCTGACACGTAAGCCCTAAGTGTTGTCTTAATAATTTGATTAATTCTCTCGGCCGGATTAGCCTGTGGGTGATAGTGTGCGGCGTACCGGAGCTGGACGCCATAGTCACGGCAGAGGCCCCGAAGTTCTCAACTCCTAAATTGGGGTCCATTCTCACACACAACCGACCGAGGAACTTTAAACAAAAGAAATACATTTTCCTCCAATTATTTGCATACGCTTTTTGCCGTGGCAGTACGCAAAGGGAAGAGGAGGGGAAATTTGGTAAAATAATCCACTACGGTTCAAATATACCGGTAGCCTTGTGATGACTTCACTAAAAGCCCTACCAGATCCACGCAAATCATTTCCCAAGGCCCGACTGCATTGGTCATCTTTATCATACCTCCAGCTGGCTGTGAATTTTCAGGTTTCACCTGTTGACAAGTTTTACACGCCCTAATATACTTTGCAATATCCGACTTCATCCTTGGCCAGTAGAGCTTTTGTGAAACGCTTGCAAAAGTCTTCTTCACACCCATGTGTCCTGCTAACGGATTGTCAGGACATTGTTTTAAAATCTCACCTCCACCATCACGCCCTATTTCTTTTTTCCTTTCTAGTGAATCACCGTACACAGAAGAAAATCTCGACCTGACAAACTTGTAGAAGTTGCCACCTTCAACTCTCCACGCTGGATACGACATAGGCTTTTTCTCTACCAGCCGGATCATCCTTGCCAACCAAGAATCGGCAGTAGTCACCTTAGCAATACTTGGCACACTTCGGGATAGCATATCCGGAAACACATGTTCCTTGCCTTCCCGATGCACTATATCAAAATCATATTGCTGAAGCATCAAACCCCACCTAGCTAACCTACCACACTGATCCTTCAACTTATTCAGCCAAATAAGTGAATAATGATCAGTGACGACCGTAAACTTTGCGCCCTCAACATATGGTCGCATTTTCTCAACCTCCCTCCTTTTCGGTCGTCGAATAGTTTTGCTCTCCTTTGTTCAAGGACCTACTCAAATAAGCTATAACCCTCTCACCGTTTTCAAACGTTTGCGTTAGTACCGCACCTACGCCGAAATCAGACGAGTCTGTCTGGATTGTGAAAGACCTATCAAACCTGCAAGCTAACTAGTTCTGCAAAGTCTTTTATAAAGCTGTGGTACCAGGACACTGTTCCTATAAATGACCGCACTTGCTTTACTTTCTTCGGTACCTCAATCCGAAGCATCGCCTCTACCTTCTCGGGGTCTACGTGTAGACCGTTCTTGTTCACCACATAGCCCAAATATTTCAGCTCAGAACTACAAAAATATACTTGTCCCTATATAATCTATGCCCTGCCCTAGCTAATCTATACAAAACGTCTTTCAAAATCTTTGCATGTTTCTCAAAATTATTTGTGACGATAATAATATCATCCAAATACACAAAAACATGAGGTTCTAACTCGGGTCCTATGACCGAATCTATAAATCTCTGCTAAGTTGCCGGTGCATTATGCAAACCGTATGGCATCCTCTTAAACTGAAATAGTCCTCTGCCTGGTACTATAAACGCTGTGAAGGGCCTCGACTGCTCCTCCACTGGAATTTGCAAATAAGCGGACTTAATATCCACACTGGACAAAAACTTAGCGTCCTTTAGCTTATCTAAGGTCGCCGACACGTATGGAAGTGGGTAACTATCTTTCTCGGTAAATTTATTTGGAACCCTATAGTCTACACAAAACCTATAAGTACCGTCTTTCTTCCTGATTATAACTACTAGAGACGCCCAAGGACTATGTGATTTCTCTAGCACCCCTTTATCGAGCATATCCTTAATCTCTTCGTCCATACGCGACTGTATGACGGGAGACACAGGGTAACACCTACATTCGCTAACTGGGAGTTAGCAGGTTTCCGTACTTCGTTGGGTACTCGGGGAGCCACTCGGCTTCGCTGCCCACGCCGGGCAGTCCCGCTTCATAACTCCAAGTCTTCCGCACCCGAAACACTTTATACTCTTCCTACACTCTGAAGAGACATGCCTGAATCTCCTACAATTGAAGCACCGGGCATTTGATCACGGCTTAAAGCTATCAACAAGGTCCGGCACTGGTACTGCCGCGACCTCTGCATCAGTCGAGACATAAGCCAAGTCGCGTGCCTAGCGACATTTCCGCTTATTCGCCGTCAAAGTCCCACTTTGACAAGTTCGCCGGATTCTGAGACTCGGCTGGCTCCTCGACCACGCGTCGTATCTCCACGGGTGGGAGTGCTATTGGATCCACACGAGTGGCACCCGGGCGCTCGACCGAACCGATTTCCTTTTCTTCGGATTCTTCGCTGCCGCCTACCTCTAGTAGTTCGGCGAGATGGAGCAACAACTTGCTCTTCAGCTCCATGTGCTGATTCATCTCGCCGTTATTGCCCGGTCGCGCCCGACCTATTCGCGAACGGCACCACTCAATCTTTGCCAATGCTTTCGCTCCATGCTGTGGCTTGCATTCACCCGAAACCGATAAAATTAATTTTTCGACCTCCTCCAGTTTCGATTCGACCGCCGTCTTATCTTCGTGGAAACTGAAGGGGTAGTCTTGGAAGAGGTTTACCGAACCTCTTCGCTCAATTAACCGCGCTGCCCTTAGCGACATACGCATGGCCTCGACCGTACCGACCGTACCGAATACCACCGTGCCATCAATCCATGGCTTCAAATAATGCAAATGTTTGCCGACAGATGTCACTGCCAACGCTTGGAGTGAAAGGCAGCTTAGACAAAACAAAGGAAAAGAACATACAAACACAAAAGAAGTTTTTGTTGCGGCCAGCATGCCACAACCCTACTGGGCTTGAAGTTATACTTTTGCCGAATGTATTCACACCACTTGTACCGCTGCTGCAGCCAACAATATTGTCAGCCGACGAAGAGGTAGGGTTACAAATGTACAGCAGGTTATAATAGTTCACACAGGCCTAATAGTTTCTCTTAATCTTTGGGATTGCGTGCACCAGGTAAATTTTGTTTGTTAGCCAATATTAAGACAGGAACACCCTAAATAAACTATTTAAGCTTTTTTTGTGAAAAAAAATGTTCATACAATGAGTATCAGATTATAGAGGCATTTTGCCATTCTCATCAGCTCCATTTTAGCTTCCCCCATTCGTTCTACCACCACTGAATCGACAACGAAAAGAATACCATCCGTACATCTGAAATAAAAATTAAAGTAAGAAGAAATGCAGTTCACAATTTTTAGACTACTTCAATTTTGATGTTCATTGTAAAAAGCAGCTTTCGACGCACATAACAGCAAAATAGCATATTTTGTGTCCAGTTTGTCCGGTAGCGAGTTGAAAGCGATACCCTTAAAACCCTTTCTTTGAGAATTAGCCGCTTTATTTTGTATGGGCGAATGGTACTATGGAGGGTCTTCTGAAAGAAAATTTGGTGTAAAGGTAGCTGACTGACAATGATTCAAAGAGCTTATAAAAGTAAATCCAGTCCTCATCGAGTAATCCAAAAGTTGAAGCTACCGCAACGACCATATATACAGTTATACAGGGTGTCCCACAATTAACGCAGGACTTTAATTTGCCATTCAATTAGCGAACCAACTGAAGCCTAGCTTCAACATATTGATGCTGTTTTTTTTTTAAGCAAAATTATTTTAAGTGATGAGGCACATATTTTGTTGATGGGTTAGCTAATCGGCCAAATTGCTGCTCTTGGAATTCTAAGAACCCACCTGTGATTGTAGAAAAACAAATGTATCCACAACACGTCACTGGTTGGTGGGAATTTTGGGCTGGGAGCATAATAAGACCATACCTTTTTGAAAATCAGTTATTGTTACTGGTACTCGATAACACGACATGATAACCCAGTTCTTGTCGCAAGTGGTTGATATTGATGTGGCTTAGATTTCTTTTTATGGGGTTATTTAAAATCACAAGTCTAATGCAACAAGCCCACAACCACGTATGCTATAAAAGAGGAGAACGTTGACTGCATGAATAAAATTCAACCATATTTATGCACAATAGTTATGAAAATTTCCGACAAACGAGTGTGTATGTGTATGGAAAGCCATTTCCCGATGAGATATTCCAAAAATAACCCTATCTTATGTACTTAATGATTTAATAGTCCTGGTAGAATGTGACACTTTCACAATTGACCAATTCTAGTCTCATCTCGTTGATGGATGTATTCAATTTGTCCAGTTGTTCTTAGATGACATCCGAATGAATGCTTTGGATACTTGGAAACTGACAGCATAATCTTCTTTTGGTGACTATCAGACTGAAGTGAAGAAGTATTCTCAAATGTGGCTATAAAAATTACCACTTCTTTTTGTAAATGTCTTACATAGCTGTTTAACTGTTGATTTAATGAATAAATTGCGTAGCATTAAAAGTCATAGCACTCTGGGTAAGCTAAACTTAACTTAAGTTTAAATTTTAAGAAGCTTATATGATATTTTCGTGTAAAAAAGTTAATTACATTTAGTGAAAAGTGGCCAATATTATAAAGACAGTTCACATTTACCGAAATGCCTAAAAAAAGTGAGATAAGTTACGATGATAGAGTTCGAATTCAAGTTTTTAGTGAAGAAGGTAAGTCTCAGGTTGAGATTGCCAATTTGGTGGGATGTTCGCGGTGCGCGGTCCAATGTGCTATCAGCCGATTTGTGGAGACGAAATCCCACAATAATAAATCAAAAAGTGGAAGAAAGCGTCTAACCAGTAAACGAGAAGACCGTATACTTTCACTCGGGTCTCTCAAGGATCGCAGAAAATCTTCTTCTACCTTTGCAGCTGCCCTTTCGTATGAATTTAGTAAGCCAGTTAGTGCTCGAACAGCTAGAAGAAGACTTCTGGAACGAGATTTAAAAGGATGTAAAGCCCAAAAGAAACCGTGGCCCTAAGAAAAGAGTAGTCGTTTGGAATGGGCCCGCCGATAAAAACATTTCGCGAAAGAAGTTTGGTCGAATGTTCTGTGGTTTGATGAATCAAACTTCGAGGTAAGCTTAGTTAAGATCGTATTATAGCCGTTCTTCTGCCTTCGTTAATACGCATTTTTGCCGATACTAACTTAGATGGGGTTTAATTTCAGCAAGGCAATGCTCCCTGTCACAAATCAGCGACTACGACCATTGAGCACATAACAAGATTAAGGGATACAGCATAACATCAAAAACTACTTTAATTAACTAGTGGTACGCTATAAGTGCAGACCAATGTGCAAAGCTTGTGCGCAGCGTTATAAAATCGAAGAAAGGACCATCTAACCATTAATGTTATTATCACTAATTTATTTATTTACTTATGAAACTTCATTACTACACTTGTTAAAACAAGAAATTCAGTAATTAGTGGGGTGCCTAAAACTTTTGGCCAAGGCTGTATCTAGTATATACTTACGATATACAGAACAGTCAATACTCACGCTCTAGAATGTGTTTTAGAAATCGGCTACACTTATTCATCTGTCAATCACGATATACTATATATGTATATATAATATAATATTAATGACCCTTTGTAACTGCTGAAATGGCTTTTGGCCACATTCTTCCTCCAACTTGTTCGTGATGTTTCTTCAACAACCGGAGGGAGCTTTTCTAAGCTGCCTCCGGATGGCTGAGGATGAGCTTTTATTTCATGTCAGAAATCCTTTCCGGGGGCTTAACATTCCCTGTCCACAGGCGACCGCAAGTGGATAAATTAAGTTTCTATTATTTTGGATGTGGGTACGAATACTTGAAATTGCACGATAACTAATAAATATTTATGTTTTCGATGGTAGATTCCTTCGCGATCATTAACGACATAATTTGCTTAATAATGATATTAAGGTGTAACAGTTAACAAAAAATTTCTTATATCCATACATTTACATCACTGCAATTTTTTTTGTGGAAAAAAAATCCAAACCAAATTTAATTTGGTCAAATATATTTTTACATGTGACTAAAAACAAGCAAAGTTAATAACATGCAAACTAGCACAAACAGATTTGTGCTTCAAATATCACTGGGTATTTGAAAGCAGAAAATTCTTATATAATATAATGCAGATAAATCTATATACAAATATATTACCGCTTTTTCTTATAAGTTTTATTTAGTTTTCGCCGTTTCAATATCATTTCGTAAAGAGCTTCCAGACCTTCTTGTAAGCCTTCTCCAGTAATTGCACATGCTGGTTGTATATACCATCCTTTGTATTGGTGTACTGCTGCTGGATAGCTAACTATTTTGCTTGTTTTGTTTTGAAGGAACATTGTATTAGCAGTAGTTGGTGTAGGTGTTATTGCTACTGATGGTGGTGAAGATTCATACGTAATATTTTTTTTTTGAATCGATGATAAAAAAGATGAGTTTTTACTACTATTATTAGGGCTTTCATAATCATCATCTTTTTTAACTTCTTTAATTGATTCCGCTGCAGTAGCAGAAGATACGGGATGTTGAATATTAAAATTTTTTGTACACGCTTCTCCGAATACCCTACTGGGCAGAGACATTAGAGTTATACTTTTGCCAAATGTATTCACGCCACTTGTACCGCTGCTGCAGCGAACATTATTACCAGCCGACGATGAGCTAGTGTTTTGGAAATGAACAGCAGGATATAATAGTTCACGTAGGCCTAATAGTTTCTCTAAATCTTTGGGATTCCGTGCACCAGGCAAATCTTGTTTGTTAGCCAATATTAAGACAGGAACACCCTAAATAAACTATTGAAACTTTTTCGTGATAAAAATATGTTCTTACAATGAGTACCTGATTATCGGGGCATTTTGCCGTTCTCATCAGCTCCATTTTAGCTTCCTCCATTCGTTCTATATCTACTGAATCGACAACAAAAAGAATACCATCCGTACATCTGAAATAAAAATTAAAGTAAGAAGAAAAGCAGTTCACAGTTTTTAGACTACTTAAATTTTGATGTTCATTGTAAAAAGCAGTTTTCAACGCACATAACAGCAAACTAGCATATTTTGTGTCCAGTTTGTCCGGTAGCGAGTTGAGAGCGATATTCTTGATACCCTTTCTTTGAGAATTAGCCGCTTTATTTTGTATGGACGAATGGTACTATGGTAAGAAAATTTGGTCTTCTGAAAGAAAATTTGGTGTAAGGATAGCTGACTGACAATGATTCAAAGAGCTTATAAAAGTAAATCCAGTCCCCAGCCGCAAGATAGTCTGACATCGAGTAATCCAAAAGTTGAAGCTACCACGACGATCATATATACAGATATACAGGGTGTCCCAAAATTAACGCAAGATTTTAATTTGCCATTCAATTAGCGAACCAACTGAAGCCTAGCTTCAACATATTGATGCTGTTTTTTTTTTAAGCAAAATTATTTTAAGTGATGAGGCACATATTTTGTTGATGGGTTAGCTAATCGGCCAAATTGCTGCTCTTGGAATTCTAAGAACCCACCTGTGATTGTAGAAAAACAAATGTATCCACAACACGTCACTGGTTGGTGGGAATTTTGGGCTGGGAGCATAATAAGACCATACCTTTTTGAAAATCAGTTATGGTTACTGGTACTCGATAACACGACATGATAACCCAGTTGCTGTCGCAAGTGGTTGATATTGATGTGGCCAATATGTGGTTTCAACAACACTTCAATTACTGCATAAGACATTTTCAGGTCATGTGCTCTTCGTTATGGCTTAGATTTCTTTTTATGGGGTTATTTAAAATCACAAGTCTAATGAAACAAGCCCACAGCCACGTATGCTATAAAAGAGGAGAACGTTGACTGCATGAATAAAATTCAACCATATTTATGCACAATAGTTATGAAAATTTCCAACAAACGAGTGTGTATGTGTACGGAAAGCCATTTCCCGATGAGATATTCCAAAAATAACCCTATCTTATGTACTTAATGATTTAATAGTCCTGGTAGAATGTGACACTTTCACAATTGACCAATTCTAGTCTCATTTCGTTGATGGATGTATTCGATTTGTCCAGTTGTTCTCAGATGACATCCGAATTAATCCTTTGGATCCTTGGAAACTGACAGCATAATCTTCTTTTGGTGACTATAAGCCTGAAGTGACGAAGTGGTTTGTGGTGCTTCATTATGCTTGAACTATGGTTAGTTTTTAATTGAAGTTATAAACCATCAATTTTTCATCTCCAGGTATGATTTGCTTCAAAAACAGATCATATTCATTGCGTTTAAGATGCATATCACATGCTTTGGAGCGGCTTGTTAAATGAATTTCATTACATGTGGTATCCAAATATCAACCTTTTTTACAAGTCCAAGACGTCGTATACAATTATGAACGGAGGATTTTTGTATACTCCATGTCTCTCCAAACTCACACTTACTTACATGACGCTCCAATTCAACTAATGCGTTTATGTCTTCTTCATCAACTTCACTAGGCCAAACTGACCTTTGCTTACCTTTGAATGAAAATTCTCCCGAACGGAATTTGATAATCCAACTTAGACAGTATGTTTCTTCAAGGCCTTATCACTACACAAATTATGCAACTTTTAGCAACCTGCGCTGCATTTTTAATAATATAATAAAGTAAAATATGGCGAAGATTTCCGCCGTGGGCTCCATATTAAAATTGATGCCGAACAAACAAATATAAAAAAAATTAAGAGTACTTTTTTTTCTAAAGCAAGCTGAAGTGAACTATCAAAAGGAAAGATACAATGAAATAGTTACAAACTCTTAAAAAAAAATGTCAATGCCGTCTGTATGAAAAATCGCCGGTTTCTTTTGAGGCAACCCAATGTTTAATTCCAGTCTAGTATTAGTTTGTAGACACCCTTTAAAGAAGAATCTTAATAATTTTGACGCTTTGTAACCGCTAGTGAGATTTTCGGTCTCCAACAAATCTTAGGTTCATTCTAAGCCGCCTTTGAACGGCTAATGGATTTCCTTGAAGAGATTTTATTATGTCCGAAATATACACGGAGAAATTTTCCTCCTATGCACCGTCCCAATTAGAAACATTAACTTCATTTTTTCAAATTACCATTCACTACAAACACACATACACAACTTTATTTACCTTACTGTTAAGGTTCTAGTTTATTATAACTAAATTTTGATTTTATTCACTATACACTAGAAAGATCTTTACAGGAGATAGCACTACACATACGAGAAAACTGCTCGTTCAACTTAGAACCAGATATCTGTTTACCTCATTAAGCACTTGAAAAAGCCAAATCAACGAGCCAAAATGAATTCAGTTTGAATTGAATTCTTTACCTTATTAAGTACTTGGTGATGCTAAATAAACAAACCAAAATCAGTTCAGTTTTATTTGAATTCAATCGGACTTGATTATTAATATTGAGTAAAGTAGTACTACTTGAAAAAAGCTTATAATATAAAACGATTAGCTAGGTTCTAAAAAAAAAATAAAAAATTGGAAAACAATGGAGTAATCACGCCCAGACTTCTACTGCGCCATGGAGCTCACACAGCATGACTCCAATGAACGACACCACCCCCATCAGAATTGGGAGTAAATCCCACAGCTCGGCAAACATAAAAATTTCAAGTACCTCCGGACGTTTTTTACTTGTATACTGAAGACGTCTTCTGTTCTCTTCCACTCTAACCGATGTCATTTTGCGTGAGAGTCGTGTCTACAGCCGCCGGATCGCAGCAATATATCCAAACTTCTGAACAAAAGCAGCGGTTTAGCATTTAGACATCACTTCATTTGTCACACCAACCGGAAATACCCTCATCGGAAATGGCGGCAAGGAGATTCCGCGAATAGTCGTTTTATACAATATAACAAGTGGGAGGAACAATTAAACCTCTCTGGGCAACCAAGCCTTAGTCAAAACTTTGTAAAACGCGACGAGACGAGACGACCGGGTAGAAAATTCGTTATTTCTTTTGCTTAAGTTCCCCCCTCCACCAGACGGTCTAATATGCCGATGATTGCTCGATATTGGCGTATGGTCAGGATATTGATGACTTATGTTAGAAAGTGAATTGTTATCTCGAAGGCTTTTCTCACATCTTCACTGCACGACAATTACATCTACAACCTTCGAAATCCTTTTTCACCCTTTTCACCAGCTGGACGAAAGAAACCCGAATCAATTTAGGTGTGAAAGTCGATAGTATAAAAATTTCGACAATTAACAACCCGAAGTTACTGGGAGTCACATCCGAAAGCCTGGACTTGTGCACTTCACTCCGTAACAAAATCCTCAAAGGGCTAGCAGTACATACTTGGGGAAAAAGAACTGGAAACGTACACGAAATTAGACGGCAGATCGTAAAATATAATGCTCCGATTTGGAAGCCAGATGCAGATGAAGAAGTTACAAGCCTGTCAGAGCATCATCCTCACTGCCTTGACAGGAAACCTCTCTCTGTTCTACTCTTTTCTTTCTACTTGCTCATTTTAAGTGAGAGATCTGTAAGAGCCCACAAGCAATTAAGCACTGCTCATAAAAAAAAAATAAAATAAAATAAAATAAAATAAAACCAAATAAAACCTACAGTGAAAAGTTCAAATAATTAAGAGGGTGCCTTTAAAATAATCTGAAGAACACTTAAAAAAAGGAAACCACTAATAAACTCCAAATTAAATAACACAACACAATATTAATAAACAATACGAACAAACAGAGAAATAAACAAAAAAGTTATTCTGTGAGTACAAAACAAAAATGAGTGCTTCGCGGCTATACCCGCCGGATCGAAGGCTCTCAAGTTCCTATTTTTCTTACTTTGAGCAAACAACGCCAACACAAACAACGGCAAAAGAAAGCAACATGCAAGCAGAAGGCTCTCAGCAGTACTCAGCTAGCGCTAAACAGACGGCGAAGTCGACAGAGAAACTAGAGAGAAAAGGTAAGAGCAAGCAAACACCCAGCAGGAGACCGCTAACCATTACAAATGAAAAAGAACAGGCAAGCGGTAAGCTCAATGACATAAAAAAGAATACAATAATACAGACAGGACTAGATCGATATATAAATATCAAGAACCTTCCAGTAGCAACCGATTTGCTTTATTAAGTGAGGACAGCGTAAAGGGTACTACCACAGTTGCAAATGCCAAACCACCTCCAATTTACTTGCGCGAACGTGTCTCAAGCACGTTAGTTAATAATATTACTAAAATAGTCGGCACTAATAACTTTCACGTTGTCCCTTAAAAAAAGGTACTATCGATGAAACAAAAATTCAAATCTACAGTGAAAAAAGCTTCATGCATATAGTAAGTTTTCTATCGTCGAGTAGTAAAAATTATTACTCATATCAACTGAAGAGCTCGAAAGGCCTAACAGTTGTAATTAAAGGTATCGAATCCTCAGTCAGGCCAGATGAAATAAAAGAGGCTCTTGAAGAAAATGGTTTCAGAATCAAATTGGTTATAAACATACTTATTGGAAATAAAGTACCCCAGCCAATGTTTAACGTAGAACTAGAGCCCAAATCAAGTCAGACAAAGAAAAACGAAAACCCATCCCATATACAGTTTAAAATATTTGCTACATCGTAGGGTAACAGTAGAAGAGCCACACAAAAGAAATGGCCCAGTGCAATGCACTAACTGCCAAGAATTCGGCCATACCAAATCTTACTGCACAATGCGCAGTGTTTGCGTAGCATGTGGGGACCTACATCCCACGTCTGAATGCACGTCAAAAAAAGATGATGCCACCATGAAAAAATGTAGTAATTGTGGAGGTAATCACACTGTCAATTATAGGGGCTGCCCTGTATATAAAGATCAAATAATATCCAGACTCGTTGAAGTCAAATGGTAAATACTCCTTAAATCCAATTTGTAGAAAAAGCTACAGGTAAAACTGCTCCAAACGTGCAAAATATGAATCAAAATAAATTATCTT